CTCTCTCACACACACACACACACACACACACACACACACACACTCTCGTTCTTGCTCTCTCCACTCATCCAGGTCATGGTTGTCCCATGACCTGAAAAAGCAGCTTCTTAGATGAGAAACAAAACATTTTCAAATTAAAAACCAAGAAAGACCAGTTGCCTTTTGGTAAAGCATCTTTGAGACTCCCTCTCTCTCTCTCTCCCTCTCTCCTCCTGTCTTTCTCTTTCTCCCTTTTTTTTTTCTCCCAACCTCCCCTTGATGTTAACTTAATCACATTCCAAGCTCATGAGAGTGATAGGCTTATGTCATCCTTAATTGTAGTGGCATTCAAGTAGCATTTTCACTCTTGTCCTAAAACCATCAAAGGGAATTCTCAAGATGGACAAAACCTGTTTAGGCTTCACCAACTAATTAATACCTTGCAGATGGCATGAAATAAGGGCGGGGTGAGGGAGGAGATTTAATGCCAATATAGGTTTCTGTCAACTCAAGAAAGTATAGAGAGCTTTTTATCTTAGCCCTTGATTCCATTAGAGTCCCTCCTTATTGTGTACTTTTTCACCCTATCTGGCATTGGCTCATACTTTTCTTGGCACTAATAAACAAACCAAGCCAATTTTTCTTGAGACAGTCCTACTCATGGATGCTTTATTCTGGAGTAGTTTCTTCTAGCCTTTTTTGAAAGCTGAATATTTCCCTATTAAGACCATAAATTGCCTCCTACACTAGACACCAGAGCTGCTATTTCAAAGCCATTCCTCTCCTAGAGCAGGATCAGAGCTATGTTGAACCATCTGGATCATTGAGATAATCAAGGACTTATTTCATGATTATAGATTACAACATTACTCTGCAACTATGTAGTTGAACGTGAACAAGTGGTGCTACTAGGACAATAGGAATAGGATGAGTATTTTTTTAAATGATCTTGAAACATGATACATAGACACAGCTGTTCATTATAGTTATAGTGTGCATAAAAGAGGTCTTATAGGAGGCCCTTGAAATCACATAAAGAATTCTAAACAGGGTCTGGAAATAGACATCTTATTATTAATAATGCATTTAACCCTATAGCCAAGCTGAAAATATCCAAGCTTTATAAAAGCAGACATATGTTCTTTCTTCTTGGTGCATTGGATAGACGTACACTGTGTTTTTCCCCAAAATAAGACCTAATCGGAAAATAAGCCCTAGCACGATTTTTCAGGATGCTCATAATATAAACCGAACCCCCTCAAATAAGCCCCAGTTAAGATTGTCAGCCAGATGGATGCATTTAGTATATTTCCCCCAAAATAAGCCTAACCAGAAAATAAGCCCTAATGCATCTTTTGTAGCAAAAATTAAGATAAGACCCAGTCTTACTTTGGGGAAACATAGGTAGATAGTCCTTTACTTACGACCACAACTGAAATAAAAAAAATAACATTTAAGTTGTTGTTAACTGAAGCATTACACCCAATTTTATGACCTTTTTTTGCCATGGTTGTTAAGTGAATCACCATGGTTGTTAAGTGAGACATTATAGAACTGTAACTTGCAATCTTCCCCACCACGTTCCTCATTGACTTTGTTTGTCAGAAGCTGGCTGGAAAGTTGCAAATGACAGTCACATGACCACCAGATATTGCAATCATTGTAAATATGAGCTGGTTCCAAAAGCCTAGATTGTGATCATGTGATTGTGGGAATGCTGGAATAATCGTATGTTTGATTTACACTTGGAAATAATTTTTCTTAGCATGATTGTAACTTCAAGAAATTGCTATAAAATGATTGTTAAATCAAGGATTACCTTGTAATGCATATATTAAATTAATAAAACCGGTACATTAAAATGTTGCTTAATTTATTAGCTTGGAGATGAAAGAAGTTTTAATTAGGATTTTTGCAATCTCTTAGCTGGAGTATGAGCAATTTGGAATATTTTTGACTAGCAGTATTATAGAAAATGACGCAACAATATTATAAGCTATTCAATTTTCATGCTTTTCTGATCTCTAATATGCCTCAGGGTTGCTATACAGTTAAGCCCTTATGCATACTACAATGATATATTCTGAGATTCAGACCAATTCTGAATTTGCAATATGGATTTAAGCCTGTTATTGAGCAACATTTCAAGATTATTTCAGAGCTAGATCATGAATACGTGGCATGAACTGATCTACTAAGTTATCTTTTCTGGATGCTGCTTCTTCCAACCTATTATGGGAAGAATAAACAATATCTGCACTGGAATGTTATATTATCAAGTATTTATTTTTTAAAAAGTATTTTCATTCAATAACACCTAGATTACAAAAAGAAGCATTTTTTCCCCATTTATATAAGTAAATGGATGTATTGCGGAGAAGCATAGCGTGAATTGCCATCTGGCAATAAGAATGGAAGTAAAAGGTGGTATGCATTCTGATCCAGCTGCTAGAAAACAGGATGGTTATCTTGCATCTAAATCAATATAATTCTGGGAGTGCTCAATAATACAATGTGGAAACAGAGCTGAATTTTTATTATGAAAGTCTTGTAAGGTACAGGCAATATGCAAGTATCATTCATTTGCAGTCTCTGGTAGATATTAGAAATGGTTAATAATTAAGCTCTTGCCCATCACAACATCAACAAGTTTAACCAGTTATGTTTACTTAGAAATATGGTTGATTGCTCTGTCCATACCTGACTTTTCCTTAATCCCAGTTTATTAAGTGGGATTTATCTAAATAATTAAAGCAGAAAACAAAAACAAATTAGCCAAGTCCATTTGAGCTTAGCGTATGGTTCAAAACCATTGTCTATTATTCACGTTGCAAACTCAGAAAATTGGGTTGCACCATGACTGTCAAAGATGTTATTTAAATACAATTTTAAGTCATCAACAACCCTCTCAACAGTTGTGTTCATACAACAGTTGTGTTCATACAACAGTTGTGTTCATACAACATACAATCAGATTATGTCAAGGCCTAACAGCTGCATTCACACAAATTCAGTTAGTTTTAATTATGTAAGGGATTTTCTTTTTTTCAGTGATTTCATGTATCGTGACACCTTAGCTGTTTTGGTAAACTCAGTGGGTTCTATAATCCCAGAAAATGAATTAACTCAGGATCTAGGTTAACAAAGTCACACGAACACAACCAAGTTCTTGCCTTTGTCCAAACTGGAACCAGATTGTCAGGAGCAATATGCAAGTAATGCTTCTACGTTGTCGCCCTGAGAATGCTATAAAGCCAAGATAAAGCCTAGATAAGCCTAGATGCTATTGCTGTTTTAGTTGCAGGAGTTGAAGTCTTCTCTCTCTCTTAAAAATAGGGCTTTTAAAATAAAGTCTCCCACGAATGGAGTTCTGCTTCTGATTCCAGAGCCAGTTTCCATGACATGAAATGGAAATAGTCTGCTACTGCCTTCAACAGTAAGGTTTAATTGAGAATTCTAGAGATAAGATAATCTTTATTTATTTTATTTTTTTACTGTGAGCACACTGGCACACATTAAAAACGAAATCCTGTTGCCTGCTCTCAAAAGAAAGTATATGTCTACCCATACACAACACGCATATACACATGCTATATATACACATATACACATGCTCTGTGTGTGTGTGTGTGTGTGTGTGTGTTGACAGTTTGTATCACTGTCCATTTTGAATACATAGCAAAAAGAAGAAACTTAAAGAGTTCACAAGGTTAATATTATATGAAACAAAACTGGGACTGGATCTGGATGTTCTGCTTTGGATAACCACGCCTCCTCCTCTCAGAGGGAAAACAGGTCCTGAAGAGAACGTGTAGCATCCTGGACAATCCTTCGGTGATCACCTGGTGGTCTCCCACTAGTCAGATGCAAGGTTGCCCTTAGCTTTTTAAGATGAACGAAGTTTGCAGGAAGGAGGCTCTCAGGCTGGGTAAGAAACAGGGCACAGTTTGCCAAAACCATAATCCCAGAAACATTCCCTCCCTCCCTTCTTTTGAAAAGTGAAGTTGTTGGGGGGGGGGGAGAAAATTTTTGCCGGGATAGTGCCTATTTCCCTCAACACTCTGAATTAACCAAGCCCGCATTGTGCCAACCCAGCCGGGTTAGGAGCCTAGCTCCGTGGCTGTGTAGATACCCAGATTCAAATTATCCCGAGTTTCCCCTTAAAAAAACAAAAACAAAACCGAAATCAGCTTTGCCCAAGCAAAGCTCAGGTAAGCGCGGGCGAAGGGGTCGTGCGAACAGGCCCAGAGTCCCCTTCTCTGCGACTGGCGGCAATTAACCCGAGATAACCTTCTCCCGCCCGAGGAGGGGAGGAAGGAATTGGACGGCAAAGCCCGGACTCAAGCGTTGTTAGTCGGGTCACGTCAATTCGGGGCACTATTTTGTGGCCCTATATAAAGGCCCCCGCCGAGGTTGGGGTGGTGGTGAACAATAGCTCCGGTGAGACACTCTCTGCAAAGGAGAAGGCCGCCGGTCCAGAACGCGGGAAGGTGGGCGCAAAAGCCGCCCCCGCCACAGCCGGGAAAGGGGCGGGCGGCGGGCGGCGCCGGACCAACGCGCCTGCCTTTCTCCACCTTCCCGCCCTGCCGCCACCTGTAGCTCCGGCTTCCTCCGCCTGGCGTAACTCTTGCTATACCTGGCGAGGCCACGTCAGGGGCTTCTATTCCCGCCACGGCCGGTCGCTCGGATCCCTCCGCACCATGATCTCTGCCCGAGGCGGGGGTTCCATGCCTCCGCCGCCCAACGCCACTGCCTATTACCCCCCGCCCCGCGTGAACCTCCCCTCCGGCTTGGAAATCCTGCGCACTTACTCGGGGGCCTTCATCTGCCTGGAGATTGTAAGTGCCGAGGGCCGGGAGGAGGAGGAGGAGGAGGGAAAAGGGAAGGAACCGTAGGAGGCGGAGGGGCAACAGGTGGGGCAGGTGGTTCTATCCCGGCCAGCTCGACCATCCCTTTCAGCGGGATCGTGGGGAGGAAAGGGTCCTTTCTTTTCTTCCCTTGGGCGTCTTCCTTCCTTGCTTTGTTTTCGGCCGAGTCCCCTTTAAAAGAAAATCAAAGTGATCGACTGGTAGAAGGAACTCGATCTGGTAGGTAGCTGGCCTGGGCAGATCAAGAAAAGTTGACTTCCGCGATGGGGGGAGGAAAAAAAAAAAGAAGCACGACTACTCGCAGATCGGACTTGCAGCCAGATGCTGGAAAACAGACACACCTGTTGGATTCTGCACCTTGCATACAGCTGTCAGGCGCTCAAGAGAGGGAAAACAGCCGCCTGTCCCTTAGTCCCCAACTTCTGGCGACATTATCCTCCAGCTGCAGCTTTTCTCAGTTCCTATTTATGTTGCATATTACACACACACACCCAAAGGCCTTTACAGTAGAATTTTCTGTTATTTTCCTGGTGGGCTACTCCATTTCTCAAAGCAGAGTAGATTGTCGATGCAGATCTTATTATAACTAGAACTGCCTACTAGGTTAAGCTAAGGTAAAATGGGGAGGGGCTTCCCCTCTAGTCTAGCGTCTTGGGGAGGACCCGAATGTTTTCTTAGCATATGGTGTGAATGTTAAGTCCTAACACAGTTTATTGATTTGACCGTGGTGTGTTTAGGTGAACACAGGAAATGAACTCATTTTTAGAATTTAGATTATTGTATTGTGGGGATTTGCTTTGGTGGTGTATCCTTTTTTTTTTTAATTCATTTGTGCATTAGACCTTCAACTTCCACTTTGGTTCTCTCTTATCCATGTAAAAGGATTCCTGCTCTCTAATTTAATTATAAATCTCTTGGATGAGGAGGGTTGGACCAGATGACCTACAAATTCTCTTCCAATTCTGTTAATCTGTTTAATCTGTTAAGAATCCCCTTGCCTCTTAACTTGGGCAAATAAAAAGATCTGGTAATTTGGTCCACTTTTATGTAACTAGCTTTCTAGAATCTCAAGTGGAGATCTCTTCCTGCCTTTGTACCTGAGGAAACTTATCTTTAGAAGATGGGACAAAATAAGCACAGAGCATTTTCTCTTTCAGTTGTACTTCTTACTCAGCTTTTTTCTGCATCACCACAACCTTTTCTTTCAAGATCAGCTCATTCTTGTTTCCAAACAGCACAAAAGGTGTTGTGGTGATAACAACTGATTACATGCCGCTAAAGTCAGTTCAGAGGCAAGTTTTGTCATCACTTCTCTCTAATAAGGTTTCTAAAATTCCTGTAACACTTTTATGATGCATACAAGTCTCAGCGATTTCCTTATCAGGGAGAGGATAGCATTGAAAGAAAGAACATTTAAAGAAAGAGTGCAGAGAAGAGCAACAAAGATGATTAGGGGACCGGAAGCTAAAACATATAAACAACAATTGCTGGAATTGGATATGTCTAGTATAATGGAAAGAAGGACCAGGGGTGACATGATAACAGTGTTCTGATATCTCAGGGGTTGCCCCAAAGAAGAGGGAGTCAAGCTATTCTCCAAAGCACTTGAGGGCAAGACAAGAAGCAATGGATGGAAACTAATCAAGGAGAGAAGCAACCTAGAACTAAGAAGGAATTTCCTGACAATTAGAACAATTAATCAGTGTAACAATTTGCTTTCAGAAGTTGTGAATGCTCCAATACTGGACATTTTTAAGAAGAGATTGGACAATCATTTGTCTGAAATGTCTTCAGCTTGAACAGTGCGTTGGATTAGAAAATCTCTAAGATCTCTTCTCTTCCACTCCACTGATTTTAGTTTCTCATATTGCCAATAAACCAAAAAATCCTTTCTAGAAACCAAGCTGGCAATGTTTTCCTATATTCTAATCTCTGTATTTCTCCTACACCTTTCTCAAGCACACCTATGTTGTTGAAACTGCACTCTGTTATTACTCCTCCTCCAACCACTTCCTGCCTGCCTGCTGGTATCTGAATATCATTCTTCCTGCTGTTCTTTGCAGGGACAGGATCAGAGCACACACTAAGGATAGGTTATAGAGAAGTCCCAAGAGTTGCCTAAATGTACCACAGCAGCCCAATTATCAGAGAGAAAAGTCCCATCACCAACCCATTTTAGGGACTGGATTCACCTTCTTCTGACTTTGTCTTCACTGACGGGTGAAGGAATGTCATAATGCCTAGCTCACGTATTATAGGATACCATGATCTGTTTAATCATGATTTAGTACAGGGAAGATCAACCTGTGCACAGCTTCCAGCATCTGGACATAGAGTCACATGAGTTCAACAGCAGAGAAGCCAAACTATTTCTTCATAATTACTCCTTCACCAAAAAAAACCCCAAACTAATTATTTTTGGGGGGTGGGAGTAATCAAGACAGTTGACAAAAGTGAAAAGGATGTCTTCAGGTGGTTAAAAGAAGCTTGCCTCCTGCTCTTAAAGCTCTCCAGGAAAACCCTACAACAGGTTGCCCATCCCTAGTCCCATGACATCACCGCATCATTGGGTTGCCTTCTATAACTATCTGGACATTGCAAAGACTCCTAACCAGAGTCTTTTGCCAACATGTTGACAAGGGACTCTCCGGTCACAGACAATCAGTAGGGAAAACAAAGCATCAAAAGTGTTTTATTTGGTGATGTAGGAGATGAGCAGGCTGGGCCCAAAGGAGGGATCAAACCCATCATCAGTCTTGAGTCCCTTTGTGTCGGTAAGAGATCTAAGTCCAGCCCACCTTGAATTCCATTGACTCTTATCTTCCGCCAATTCACTTGAACCATTAGTAGTTCAGATTCTTGTATAGAGTTTTAGCATGCAATAAACCTGCATCTATTTGAATGCCTTGGCTCTTTCCTGCATTTAACAGGTGGTCTGAAGAACAATGATATCCTGTTTCTTTCACTTGGTCTTTCCTGGAACCAAGTTAACGGATGAAAGTAAGAGTGATTAATGCAGCTAGATAGCAATGCACAAAGCTAACATCTCACAGGTCCCACTCAAACGTTGTTCTACTTGTCACTGCTTACGTAGAACTTCGAAACAACTCTTGAAACATCTTCTTAGTCACTCTATCCCTGAAGGCATGACTAGACTACTGGCAGCAGTTCCTTGGTGCTCTTCTCCACATCGCCTCATCACTCTGCATGTTCATAATGTTAAGTATTGTGTAATTGTTGATTTTTTTTTTTGTTAACAAGGAACTCTGATAAACTCCCCAAGAGGTTGCTGCAAATTTCCTCTGGCTAGCACAACCCTGTTACTGATCTCAGAAAGTTCTATCCCCTGGCCTTCCAGATACCACTTTATGGAATAAGACATAAATAGCTGGCTATATACAACATTCTGGACCAAAGCCAAACAAGACCCACTTGGATTTGCAATTTGCTCAGCCACTGGATTCACACGACCCATTAAACTATTATTATTTTATTGAATTAAATTTAGAGGCTACTTGGCTGCAAGTAACTCTGGGCATCATGCCCTTTAAAAAGTAAGAACAATAAAATAAAGAGGAAATCATGTATATCTGAAAAGAAAATACATAGCTTATTAAAAAAAAAAAAACTAACAGAGGCTCAACATTTAGGGAAACCAGCTAGATTTTCAAGGATCTTATAATATCCATCAGGGTGGGAGCTATATGAATATCTGGGAAAATACTGTTCCAGAGGCTGATATTATATCAAAAGACCTATTTCCTAGGTCCTGGTAAATGAAAGTACTGTTTAATTAAATGGATGTATAACACACCCATAGTGTCAGGTCTTACAGAAACTATTGGATATAGACACTCCTTCAAATAACCAGGTCAAATTCCACAAGACATTTTTTAGTCATTTATTCATTCATTCAATTTGCGTACCCGCCCATCTCAAACCAGTGAGTCTTTGTATACGAGATACAGCAGTATTTTGAATTGCATCCTGAAAGCCAATAGGTGGCCAATGCAGGTCACAAATTAGTGATGACCAAAGGGGCATGTCATGTTCTGTTCATAGCTTTTCTTTTATGTACACTGAGAGCATTTGCACCAAGACAAATTCCTTGTGTG